ACACACACACACACACACACCTTAACTTTTAAAACCTGACAATCTTCTTTTTTTCTTCAGAATAATGACTTTTAAAAAAGTTAGAAGAAGAGATTTCTTTGAGAAGCTGCTTATGAGATTTCAGCTGACAAAGAAATGTGAATTTTCAACAATATAAACAGAATGTGTGTACTCAGATGTTTTTTTTTTTTGAAGTGGCCTGAAGTGGATATTTTACTTTGTAGTTTTTAAGCATTTATAATTACACTAGAAATTGTACTCTTTAAGATTTAAGTTCTTATTTATTCTAATTCAGGCCTTAGCTGAATGATCGTGACACGATAGTGATGCACTCAGACCTGATTTGTCGTTTGTCCCCATTTTTGAGGACCTTATATAGAGGGAAAGGTTTGTAATTTAAATAAGATTAAATTCAATGAATTCAATTGAAAAATGGACTGAAATGTTTTAATGAATAATAGTAAACAACTTATAATGAATGTTGTTTGCTGTGTTGTGAAGTACGATCAATTAATTTACTTAAAGCTCTGAACAGTCTTTCAAAAAAAGTCAGTGTGAAGAGTCTTTTTTTGTTCTTGACAGTGGTGCTTGTATTTATGTACATATTTAGGTAATCAAAGTTTCTGACTTGACATCAGTCAATGACGATGATACCCTATCCTATACCTTAATTTTTCTGACGATACACCTAAGCTACTGCTTCAAGTGTCAACTATATATCCAGTTGTTATTTGTTTAGTTTTTTTAAAGGGGGTGCAAGTTGGTGTATTCAAACCATTTATATGTATCAGACTTCCAGTTATCAAATTCAGATGTATTTAATCCAGGTATGTGAAGCCTTCAATACTATGAGTCAGGTGGTTTAAAGAGTTCATTGCTGAGGAGTTCAGAAGGTTTGCCAAGGTCCTGCTATACATCTTGTTTCAATGATAAACACAAAATTGAAACTGACTGCAGAGGCCTTCGGTGCTTTTCAACATGAATGCAGTGAACTAAGATTACCAAGGCTATTCTGTGTAGTCTATCCTGCACCTTCTTTCACACTTTAACCACATTCATTTTCTCTCACTCTTAACACACACACACGCACAAAAGAGTGTCCTTGTCTGGGCTGGTGTGTGTGTTTATGAGGTCATTAAGGGGCCAGGGTGAAAGGTTGAAGATGTGAGGGGGTTTAAAGAGAGATCAACTCACGCCTTCCTCTTCTCTGTGAGGGTTCAGCTTGTTGTACACCGCCTCGATCACACTGCGTCTGCAAACACACAAACAGCACACGCCTCGCTGCTTAGAGAAAAGAACAACTCCTTACATCATGAAAACACTCTCTGCTCATTCTACTCAAATGTATATTGATTGAGATTATAATGGAATCAAGAAAGCAACTGAGTCGATACTTGGGTCTCTGCTATTTGTGCATCAAGACACTCAAGAATATCTTAATTCATGTGCGCATTTAAGTGTTTTGATGAAAGTTAGTGTATGGTTGTTGCTCCTGCAGTGCTGCCAGATTGGTCAGTAAAAAGTGTTACCATCTGAGCAGTTTCCAGCAGTGACATGACAACCATGAGAATATATCTTTGATGGTAACTGTGGCATTGCTGGGAAGGTAAAAATGTACAGGCATTTTTTGACACCGATGAGGAGGGATTCCTCCCACTCCACACCACTCTGGAAAATCTCCTGATATAATATAAGTGAGAAGGCAAATGTCTGAGTGAGAGGCTCCGGACTTTTCGCCGAACCAGCTCCCTAGAAAGATAGTGTCCAAGTGAGCCCATTTGAGAACACAGCTGGAGATCCTCTGGAGGATTCGGCGTGAGCGTGTTGATGGCGCTCTTACATACATGAAAATAACTGAATGAATATCAGGATGAAAAAGTAGTGCCCTACACATAGGCGACACCAACGCTGTCATCGGCCGTAGCTATGGGACATGGGGATCAAATTTATAGTTTATCCTTCCAACGAGTTACTAAAGCATAAGAAAATATGTATGGCTGCTACTAACCTCTGACTTTATTTAACAGTATGTTTCAAATGCAATAACATAGTTATATATTTACTTGCTGGCCAGGCCGCCACCAGGTGGAAGGTTGGGGATGCTCTCTGTGGCAATGCTCCTAAGGACAGACACCAGGTCAGGGACTCCTGCATCCCCAGAGTTTCCCAGTAGCTCTACACACAAACACAAAGAGGACAAAAGGTTTGTGAGAGGTTGTGTTGTGAACTGAAGTGAGGTTGTAGAGTATAAAAAAGCATGTTTCTCTGCAGAGGCTGAGAAATCACCCGAAGAAAAAAAAAAAATCAGATCCACTGCTCATTGCAATTTGCAGCACTACTGACTGTAGTGTACTGATTTTAAATATTTGTATATTCCAGTCTAAGATGCTGGTGTACACATGTGTCAAGTGTACTGACCCTCAACACGGGACTCCAGGAATTTATCCAATTCCTCTTCTTTCTTCACAGCCTCCTCTGAGATCTTGGGAGCTCCGGGTAAACACACCAACACCACACTCATATTGTCCCTGCTCCCCTGCAGGATGACAGAACAAATACAGAGTTAAATGAAAACAGGGAAAATATTATCCTAACAATTTCATTGTAACACAAATATCTTTTGAGACATCAACTTGATATTGGATTAACTGATCCTAAGTGTATCACACGTTTTTTTTTACCACTATTTTATGCTTGCTGATTATATTTTAAAAAGTCCTGTAGTGGCTCTTTTACAATTGCTGTGTCCATTTTCATCTTTTAGGGCTTCAAATGATGATTATATGTTGTTGCTAAATTGGCAGACAATAACTAAATTTCCTTGAGCTCAGTGTGACTCCCTCAAAAGCCTTAATCAGTATAATGCTACAAAAGGTGATTAATCTATTATGAAAACACTTGACAACTGTTTGTCAATTAAAATATTTAATTATTAACCTCTGACGACTTCTTTTTATTTATTCCCTTGCAGTGTATGCATTATAGAAACAGAACAGCTTAACCTTTGGCTGGAAGCAGCTGTCTGAACATTAGATAATATATTAGTTGATATTTATAGGACACAGTCACTTACAGCTAAGGAGCACTGGCCTCAAATCAATGGATAGTCACCATTACCACTCAATAAAGTCACAGCAACTTTCTCTGAGTACAACCTCACATCCATCTTAAAGAGCAGTGGCAGCAGAGGAGATTTATGACGTGATACTTGCGACAATCCCTGAAGTGAAAATAACCAGGCTGTTGTGTGCTTTTCTTCTTAACTTCAGATACAAATATATGAGGGATACACGTAAAGCAAAAGTCTCAGATGAACACTGTTGGGGATGACTTCAGGTAAAAAGTGATATTTTACTTTATCTTGGATCGATAACAGGGAAGGTCAATGGACAGGGACTGATTTAAAAGCAGTAATGTATTATTCAACAACTGATTTATCTTATCTCTCGATATGAGATGTTAAGTTCTGTTAAACATTATGCATTTTTTCTTTCACTGTCTTCTTTCTTACTCAACATTTTTGGACAAATACTGATGTTTGTTTGTTAATGCTGTTAACTGAGCATATGAGAGTCTTCTGTGAAACATTCTTAGCTGGTAACTATGTGTGAACTTTCACCTTCAATGTGTGAGAATGTATGTGGAACAAAAGCAGCTTACCTTATGTAGACAGGTGTCCACCACAGAGTTACAGACCTTCTCCAGGTCGTCACACACCAGCAGTCGTGAGCGGACAAAGTCACACAGCTCCTCGTTGGACATGACGTCCCAGATTCCATCACACGCCAGCACCACAAACTCATCTCCTTCGGCCGCTCGTTCCAACACACACACCTCGGGCTCAGGGCTCACCAGCTGCTCCGTGGGGCCCTTACCATCCACACATTTGTAGTCATAGTCCCCCAGGGCCCGGGACACAGCCAGGGAGCCGTTCACCCTCTGGATCATGACTGAGCCGCCAGCGTTCTGGATGCGCTCCTTTTCACGGGGGTTGCAGGGCTTGTGGTCCTGGGTGGAGAAGCCCACCTTGCTGTCTCGACTCAGCACAGCCCGCGAATCACCGCAGTTAATGAAGTAGAGGTGGGTCGGGCTGAGCAACACGCACACAGCTGTTGATCCGCTGCGGTCCATGCCCTGCCGCAGGTCAGTGAAGCTGCGCATGTATTCGTCAATGTTCAGGAAGCCTGAGCGGATGCCGTCCTTCACACCCTCCACAGAGCCGGATCCAGAACCAAAGTCGGCCCCTCCTGACAAGATGTGTTCCAGCAGGTGGCCAGAGCAGTAGTTGGCCACCCGGGACCCTGCATGGCCATCATAGACGGCAAAGAAGGACCAGTCGGTGAGTCCATGTGGAAGACCCACCACAGCTGTGTGGGCATCCTCCATCTCCACCCGCCATCCCTGCATGGAGCTCAGGCCATACTGCAGCCCATTGCCATCACCATGGGCACTGTGCTTCTCCGTTTTCGGCTTGTCCAGGAATGCACCCATTGTTGCCTATAGCTGGAGGTGAAAGGAGGAAAGAGAAGCAGGAAACAGGAATTGAACCATCATCAGCCAGAACAAAGAAGACAATCTATGTACTCATACTTTTTTTTTTTTTTTTTATAAACGTGATTGTGACAGAAATGTGAAGGAAGCATTGCCTCAGTGCACAGGTAAAGTTTCAGTTCAATTTTTAAACAACTGTTAACATGATAGTCTCCAAACATATCGCCAGTCCAATAACATCCTCTGTAAATCACCCGTTTTTTGTGTCAGTAGTTCAGTAGGCTGCTTCTTACTATTATTACAGGCTGCTTTTAATTACTTAATGGATGGTGAGAGCCAGAGATACTGACAACAAGACAAAGATAGCACTGAAGGAACCACAGAGCCCAGGATTACACTGCAGCTGTTAAGCTTGTTTGAGCACAGAGAACCGCTTTCACACAGTAACTAATGCCATTACTCAACTTAGAAACAGAGTAACATCAGTGAATCAGCACAGTCTGAAATTGTCAACTGCCAAGAGCGGACGAGGAGAGAAATTTGACTCGAAGGGGTTAAGATCAGGTCTTTACTTGAGCTGTCTCCATACACTTGCTTAAATCATGAGCTGATCACAACCAACAGCTTAATTGTTGATGGTGATGTCGTCAGGCAGGTAGACATCTTCTCTGGTCCGTTAGCAGATTGTGTTGGTGGAATCGTGTTTTTTCAGACAACGAGACAAACAAAATTGAAGTCTAGATTAGGGCTGGGCGATGAAACAATAATCACCGCAATATAATTTTCATTAATAGTATTACTTACAATATTATTTATCAATATGTTTATGCACTGTGCAAAAACAGTGAGGATGTATAAGACATAATTGGTTTTAATAGTCTACCTCCAATTTCTAAAAGGTTTTTTGTTCGAAGTGTTTGTCAATCTCTGCTCATGAAGAAGAGTTGGAAATCACAAGATTCACTCAGGAGAAATAATACTGTGAGATTTATCATTATAATTACCAACATCGACTGATTTTGCATGAGAATGTTTTAAAGATTTTTTTTATCTTTAGAACATTGTTGGCCGTATAGCCTAGCCCTGGTCTAGACTGAGTAAGAATCAATGAATCTGGCATGAATTTAAAGGCAGAGTCAACCAAACACAGCACAGTAGTTTATATCAATACTGCTCCGTCATAATGGCAGCAATTACTGTATATTTAATTGCAATGATCACAAGCTGGATGAGCCTGCAGGACCCTGATGTGTCAATTGTGTGGTGTCATTAAAATCATGTTAGGGGCTACACCCCCCCCCACCTCAGGGCTATTGCCCATCTGAACACGGCCTTGGACCCTAACAGGCTCTGGGAATCTGTAACCACGATCTAACAAGCTAATAAAGGTGGTCAGACATTTGGTGAAAAGAATAAAAAACACATAAGAAATGGCTGTTTATGTGTGTACAAATCACTGATCAGCATCTGCATCATATGTCTCCCCCCCACCACACACAACATATTGATTTCTCACGTTGCGTTACCTCCCACATGAGCGCACTCACGGCATGACAGGCATGAGCCCAAAAAAGGCTGGTACATGCAAGAAGTGACTACTGCTGGTTTCACAGGAACGTGTGTGTGTGTGTGTGTGTGTGTGTGTGTGTGTGTGTGTGTGTGTGTGTGTGTGTAGTGTCATGGTCTATGTGCAAGAAAAAGGTGCTCTATAAATACGCCAGGCCGGTTTAGATTTCATGTCCAGGGTGGGGCAGTGGGCCAGTGCCATTGGCATTTCTATTGCTTTCCTGCTATTTGATTATATCAACAGAATTCCCTTCTTTAAGCTCTCACCTTCACCACCAGCTACTGAGATTCAGAGGCAGCCCAAATGTACATGTATGGTAAGAAAGAGGGATCACGTATGTGTGTGCGTGAAAGAAAGACAAATCTGTTATGTTCACCAGCAGTGATTCTCTCTAAAAATAAAACAAACACACTGCCATTGCCTAGCAACCACCCACCCTGCAGTGCAAACATCCAGGCTAAGCTTCATTCAACTACATCCCCCTCTCTGTCTCTCTCTCTCACTCACTCACTCACTCACACACAGCCGTGTGGTAAAGAGAGGAAAGGAGAGTTGCATCATCCATCCATTAAAGCAGTCGCAGCAGCTAGATCCTGAAAGGAGACTTGCAGACTGCAAGAACACATGCAGATACTATGAGGTTTCCTTTGGCTGACGATGCTTCAACTGACTACTGGCAAAAAAAAGAAACACATTCATCCACACAAGAAAAGCGCCAACAATATCCCTGGCGAGACGTCACATTGAAACACAACACCTCCCCACCAAAAAAAAAAAATAGCTGCCGTCACCCGTGCTGTTACCACAGATCACAACCAAGCACGCCCGATGCTCAGAGGCACGTCCACCATAAACCCCTGGCTACGACGAGGGAAGCGGAAGGTCACGGATTACGTAATGCTGCAGGGAGCCCCATCTTAACAACAAGTTTCACATGGAGGTTCAAGAACTAAACAAGTGTGCACATGAATATGTTGCAAAAACCCTAGGGCTGCAAGTTTATACATGATAGCAGAGTCCAAACACAGCATAGAGCAAACATTTCCACTTATTATTTCAAACTTCTCAAATAAAGCTTAACACCTTACATTAAGGAAACACCTTTCAACATCATTTCAATACATTTCAGGCTTTTTCCATAATCACCCGGATCTGAGAATGTGAGTTTTCACTTCAAATTCTGCAGAGCATCAAGAATTGTTTTGCTATGTCCACACTAACACTGAGAGTTCCAGAAACAATGAAACAACAACTGAAAACCACATGTTCTTTCGGATTTAATCATATCAGCCATGATTCAACTTACAGCAATAAATGTAAAGTGTCATGAACATTTACTGTTAGTAACATTATGCTTTGTCATCAGCCCAAGAAAATTAGTCAAATGTCATTATTTTTATCAATGCTGTTTTTCTGCAACTACGCAGCCAACTGCCAAGTGGAGAATCTGCTTCCTCTTTACATCTGCCTGCACACTCATGACCAGTTCAGCGAATGGTTAAGTGATATGTGTTTTTGGGTGTCTCAGTATGGACAGAGATTATTTCTGATGCAGAGCTATTCAGGTTATAAAAGGTTGTTTTAAATGAAAATGTACTAGAGAGAAGATATCCATAAATAACTTTCCCCGAGATAGATAAACAATGCAGCCAATAATAGGAATAGCTACAGTGGGTAACAATATCAAGCTGCTAGGATATTTTAACAAAAGGTTTCAGAGATACAATTCTTATGCAATATGAGCTAATAGGTTGTTTGCAAACGTTAGCCATGCCAGTGCCTTGCCACCACAATAATGGCCAGATTTATCTACAATGTCAAAGTGATCAACATGTCAGTCACTAGGGAATGAAATTCAAGTCGTTCCTCCACAGAAAGAGTTGACTGAATAATGGAGTGGTGATCAAATTGTTGCTCAGTCTGATTGTGAGTCTTTTACATCAAACCTCTTTCTTGAAGACTAAGTTGGTAGTTGTTGTCAACTTGTGAGCTCCATATTATTCAAATGTATTACATAGAAATGTACAGTTGACACACAATAAAGCAGCATATATTAGCAGAAACATTTCACCTCAACATATGAAAGACACCATCACACAATATACCAAGTTAATTTAAGTAACCATAACATTGAGCTGTCATATCCTGTGATTATTAAATTATCCAGCTTTAAAAAAGAATCCAAGGTCTCGTCTCACAGCATTTACATTCTGCTCTGGCTTTTTCATTGGTCCAGTCCCTCTGATGGATTTAGTGAGTGATGACTGAAGGAGAACACCTGATAAACATGACACGGTCATGTGATATTTCCTCATATTCGCAGAAAGTACCACGTGAATAGCACCATTAAACTAACCAGCCCAGAGTGGATTGTGGGACAGTGAGTGAGGACTGCAGAGGATACACCGGGTCACATTTCACAGCCGCATTTGGAGAAGTCTCTGGAATGGAACAGCCCTGTCGAACTGTTATGACGTATTCAGTCTTGAAATAAGGCCTGAATTGGAACACAGTCTATGTTGTGTAGATGATCCCCAGAGTTACAGTGATTACTTATAGAGCCACACCTTCCTATTAAATCGGCCGTCACATTTTTATATAGTTTTTTATTTATCTTATCCAACGTTTAAAAGATCCTGCTGAAACCATTTTTAACCTTTACTTTACACCAACTCTGACCTTGCCTATGTTTCTATGTTCCTTTTAATACACACAGAAGAAAGGTGCACAGATCAAACATGCTGCACTTCTACATTCTTAATTGACTCCATTTCTTTCTCTCTCCTTGGTGCTCTGATCTGCAGCAGAGTGCTTCCAATGTCAGCCGTACAACTCCTGAATCACAGCTGTCAATGGAAATCGCCCTAGTAGCACTTCTCATGCAATTTTTTTCTTTGACAGTGTGATAGGCAACACGATTTTCACTTCATGACTGTGAGATGTTGACATAAGCAACAAAGCAGAAGCTTAAGGGATAAAAACGGACACATGACAGGTGTAAAGACTGTTTTTAAAGCTAGGCAGATGGTGACATTACTAAATCTTTGCGATCCTTAAAGAGACAAAAGCACTGACAAACAAGAAACACACAAGTTATGACTTAGTGGTAGGCTACAGTCCAAGCCAATTCAATGGAAAGGGAGAGGTTATTAGGGCTATGATTAATGATTATTCTGATTATCAATACATCTGCTGTTAATTCTTTGATTAACCAACTATTCATTTAGTTTATCATTTAATTAATACGTTTATAAAAAGTCCCCATCAAAAAACATCGGATTCCAATATACTGACACAACAAAGTGTAAATGATGGTAAGCCGACTGGCTATCTTGTAGCAAATCTAAAGATGGCATCCATAAAAGGGAATAACTGAAAGAACTTTGCACACTGATCCGATTGGTTTGTCTTTGTTGGGGAGATATTATCTCTAGCAGTGGCTATGAGTAATGAGACTGTAGGAGTTGACTGAACAGCGTGGGAATCATACTTTATCTAGTCTGTCCCTGTTGGGAAGTGAACACAGTTGTCAACAGATATTGGGCCAAAGTGTTGTTAACACAAGCAGTACAGAATGAACTGGCGAGCAGATTTTCAGTTTCTGTCCTGTCTGTGCTCTAAGTGACAACTAAAGTGGATGTCTGTACTCGGAGGAAGCATCTGTTACTGACAGTGCATGTGTCACCGTATGGGACAGTATTTATTGTATTTTAAAATATCCACAATGATGACATGGTGCAGAATGCAGCACCTTGAGATGCCTACAGATCCATCACTGCTTGGCCAAGGCCTTTTTCAGACCTGTCAAGCACTAAAATAAGCACGATGACTGTCTCAATCTATCACTGACCCTGTGTTTCATCTGCCCCTCAGTCTTTACACAGTGTCTGCTGACTCAGATAAGATTATCAGCTATTTAACTCCTCCTGTATCTGACTTGTCGGGCACCAGGCAAACACCAAGTGATGTCATATACTGGTCAACTGTGTCAACCTTATCGCAATCTGATAATAGGTGAGCAGGGTGGCTGCCTGGCTAATTTTCAACATGGCAAAATACATAATTGATAATAAACCATGAACTAACCACAGGCGTAACGTTGATGACATATGTTATACAGTGGGGCAATTTTAAATTGTTTTATCATCTGAGATCACATTAAATTCCTGGTCATAAAAAGAGACTGCAAAGTTTGGTCAGCTGCCAAACACATAAGAAGTCAAGAGCCTCACTTTAAAAGTATAAAAAAGTTTTTGCCATGGAAAGAGGAGACATGCATCAGAAGTTTCTCCTGTTAGGACAGAGTCAAACTAGCAATACACCGCAGCTGCATGAAAAGATTGAGACATTCCCTTCTTAAAAAAATAATAGGGATGATTGATGATTGAGTCCTTAAAGGAGGTAACATAGAACATGGCGTACAGTGACTCATCACATAATGTAATTTATTTAACTCTGTATCTGAAAGTAAGAAAAGTAATAGTAATCATCTTAAAGGGAGAGTTCACCAAAAAAATGAAAATGTAATCATTATCTACTCATGGACTCTTAAATATGCAATTTATTTTAATTTATGTTGGTTCTTCCCTGACCCATAATGCATCCTTCCATCAAGTTGAGGAAATCCATTGCATTGTTTTTGTGTAATGCAAATTAACAAGTAAACAAACAAATGCCAATGAATACATTCTTCTTAGTGAATATAATATTGATTTACAATTACAACAAGAGTGCATACAACCCACACTCAATGGCCCTTTTTATTATTGTATCAGCAAAAACTCCAAACTCATACAAAGCTATACTGCAGCATATCTTAAGTACAGTTAGGAGTTCCCAACCAAGCCCATGTTTATGCTCTGGGCAAACCCTGTGCATTTTACACAACAGCGCTGCTGGAAGCCTGGAATATATAAAATAAATGTTTCAATTTCATCTGAGCAGTTTATTAGCAGAATTCAACATAACTACTGGATGGTTATCTCTCTCTCTCTCTCCCCCCCCCCACACACACACACACATTTTCATTGATTTCTCTGAGAACCATTCATGGATCTAGATGGGGGGGAAAACAAGCATGTTTAAAGTGTGTGCAATAAAAATGAATCTGGATCTAATGAACGTAGATGTGGTTTTGTGTGGGGACTGTTGGGCCTCGGCTGAGGTTTGCTGAAGTGCCATTCTTGTTTGTTTCTATGTTTACATCTCAGATACAATGTTTTGTTATAGTACTGACAGATTTCCATCTCTACAATACCAACTGAACCTCAGCAAACAAATGTCCTGCTACATACTGTTGTGGACATATGAATATAAAACCAATCTTACAAATCAAATGAGCAAATGAGAATGGGTGAAGTGTAGGGAGGAGCATTTCTGTTGCCGCAGTGAAACATGACTTCTGAAGAACATCTTTCTTGCTACATTAAACATAATCTGCTTTAACTTCATCTCACGTGTAGCGAACGACTTCCACAAAGATACCAGACGTAAAAATGGGCCCTTGCAGTTATATTTAACCTGTGAGGTCGCCGCATACACAACAGGACAAACAGCAGCCATGCAGCTCAATCAGTTTTAACCATGTCGATGTTATCTCTGGGTATTTATATCGCTGCATGGCTACTTACTGAAAGCAATCGGACCTATAGCTGCGTGAGGTCGTGTGCTGGTTTAAATAAATATATCAAATGCTTTGAAATATCATTAGCTAATCACTGACACTCATATGACAAAGTACGCTAACCTCTCATTAGCTAGATATAGCTATAGTGTAGTCTATACTATGCTAGATTAGCTTGCCTGGGACCCGACTAAGCACTGGAGACCAACGTGTTCACACCAGCGTTACTTTAAATGTGCTTCATTCAGAGGTGGCTCGCTAACGCTGGCGGAGCTACTTTGAAACTTCGGCTAAAGGCTCAGGTTTTATCCCGGCGACGCTCCGTTCCCACGCTAACATTCCCACAAACCACTAGTTTGTGTTGCATTCGTCGACTGGCCGCTGTTAGGAAACATGTTTCTGTGTAAAAACAAATAAATACCAATCCACTGACCACATGCTGAACTCCTCACAACACCGCTCCTCGCCACCGAGGGCCTAGTTCGCTCGTGTGTCGGTGCGAGCTAGCGCTAGCGGGCATGCTAACGTTAACCCAACGATAGGGAGCCAGCGCGAGTGCCCCCGGGTTGTCAAACGCTAGCTAACGACGTTAGCACACATGCTACTTACGTTTTCCTGCCGCTGGGCGAACGCAGATCCAATGTTGATCACCTGCCGGAGCCCGCTTTTGTGTGAAGATGTGTCGCTGCCCTAGCTATCTGCGGAGCTAACGTTAGCCGGCTAGCTACGTTATGTTTCCTTATTTGACAAAAAAAAATAAATAACCGAGATTGGCCTCAGATGAGCGGCGATAATTCCTTTCTCGGCGGTTCCCTGCTTGGACAGCGTTGATTTTTACGCATGTTTGACGCCAGTTCTTGTCGCTCACGTCAGCTGAAGATAATTTCGATCGCTCCAAAACAAATATGGACACTGAGAACTGTAGATATTATACAACACTGGCAAATCTCGCACTTTCTTCTTCCATTGAAAGGCCACACAGCTTTCCTTCCACTTTGGGTGCTGAACAAGAGGAGGTGTTATTTTTGGCACATGCCCGCTGATTGGTTACAACGACCAGGCGACACGTCGGTTAATTGGCCACTTCTCGCGTCAATTAGCTCTGCCCCTGTCCAGAGCGACAATCTCATTGGTCCATCACCAGAGCTCCGTGACGCGCTGGATCCCGAGGATACACTTGTTACCGCTACGAGCGTACGCCGAAGCTACTTTGTGTGGGCGGAGTCAGGCTTCAAATAAAAGCGTGTATCGCCGCGGCGGGAGATCATTCGAGTCTGACGTGACGGCAACGGCTCGGAGTATAAGTACAACCAAAAACGAAGTAAGTTACATTTGTAGTACATCGTCCTTCCTCGATATACTCTTGAGTTACCACACAGAGGAGTGCCCCTGAATGGATAACAAGCGCCAACTACTTCAAGCGCAGCAGGAATAAATAAATAAACCTTAAGAGATGAACAGTGTGAACCAGACAGCAGGAAGTCATAATAATAATAATAAGACGAATGAAATCAAATAATAATAGTAATAAAGTTGTATTAGGTTTCATTGACACCCCTATGTTTCATACTGTCTATACTATGTCAATGCCAACTTTATTTATACAGCACATTTAAAACTACTTGGTTGACCAAAGTGCTTTACAAAGTAAAAGGTATAACAAGAAAACAGAAACACACAATATATCATAATACAAATGATAAGAGAATAAAATCTGCCGGGATAGTAACATCCTCAACTGGAAAAGAAGGCCAAAGAGAAGAGATGTGTCTTTAACAATGGTTTGAAGCATGCGAGCAAGGGGGCAGATCTAATGTGGAGTGGCAATCAGCTCCACAAGTTTGCTACTGCAAAGGCTCGATGGCCTCTGGTTATGAGCCCAGTTTACGGCCGATCCAGGGGCAGCTGAGTGGCTGACCTTTGACCTCGGAGTGTGAACATGAAGAAGTTCGGGCCAGTGAGGCGGGGCCAGTCCATTAACCGATTTAAATATCGACAACAAAATTTAAAATCAATCCTGTGATGAACGGGAAGCCAATGGAGGGAAACACATAACCAAGCATGACATAAAGCTCCTGATAGGGATAAAAAAGACTGTGACATTAAAAACCTGAGTCTTCGTTAATGTTGACGCCCAATACTCAGCTGTCGTTTGCATTTTAACGTCCTCACGTGAGTTTAAATCACATTTCGGGATTTCAGTTCAGCTTTAAACTCAGGTTTGATGAAGTTTTCCCTTCACTTTTCCCTCTGGATGACTTCAAACATCTTGTGCTGCTCTCACATGTAGTCTCCATTGTGCTCCACCAAAATGTCTTAATTGTTGTATAATGTTTATTACTCATCTGGTCTATCCGTGTGCAGCTGAGGATAAACACACACTTGAACATTTACTGTTGTGTTATTGTACGAACGCATGTTTTTTATCTGCATACATCAAAATAAATGACCTATAGAATAGTCAAATCCCAAACTGAGTCAACACTCTGCAGAAACTCACGAGGTTCCCCACATGACATGAACAATGAGTAACATGTTCTGCCTGCACTCACAGGAAGACATATGACTCAGATACAATGAGCACAGCAAAAAAGAAATGGCTACAATAAACCTGAGCTAATGCTTGCTCAGACATATTTTCTAATTACTGGATCGTGGACTGTAGTGACTAGTTTTCAGGGAGAGGAGAGAAGTGTGGCGGCCTTTGCTCTGCAGTGTAAGGGCTTATGTGAACAGAGAAAAGGTTAAAACCATTCAAATAGAATAAGAGAACTTCCTATAGGTTGTTTTTTGAGACCCTTGGACCAGTTCTTGCACCAGCAGATTATAAACCAAAGATTTGTAAAACAAAGATGAGAGAAGCGATCAAATGTGGGCTGGGGTGAGTAGAGCAGCGGGATTGGGAGATTGAAGCATAAACTGGAAAATAAGTGCATGTATAAAGATGTTTAGTTAGACAGTGTATATCAGTGAATCAGTGTGTGTGATGGTAGGACAGGGGGGGGGAGCGGGGCTTATCCGTTGTCATTTTGTGTTTCTCCCTCAGGATTAGACTTGAGTCTTATTAATGAAAAACTCATCAGATATCAGAACAGCTCCCCGAGGAACCAAGCAGGGTTATGAGACACAGGTCAGATTAAGACCCTGGCGTGTGTGTGTGAGTGTGTGTTTTTGTGTGTGTGTGTCAGAGAAATACAGAGAGTGTGACTGGGCATGAAGAGAGCCAGAAGAGGGGTATTTAATTTTCCAAGATGAGGGATTATCACTGGCTGAATTTGATCATTCGGCTCTGATCTCAGGATGTTCAATCACAGCTTATCCCAAATATTAAACTCTCCGTCTTTTGTCCCCTCAATCCCTCACACTCTCTCTCTCTCACACACACACACACACACACACACTCAGACTGCCAGGCTTCTCATTGAAGAAAGTGGCCCGCTGAGCCTACTGTCAGGGTGGTGTGTGCGTGTGCGTGTGATTGTTCCACCACCTGGTCACCTCAGGCGATGGGTGAGGATGGGGGAGATGGTGGACGGGGTCGATGGGGGGGGCATGTCGAGAGGGAGGAGGGGGTCTCGGGTGTGGCGAAGCTCAGCTTTAAGCGTCTTTTGGAGGCAGCTGAGGAGAGTAAATTAAAAAACTGTTACGTCTAATCCGGAGCACCAAGAACAAGTGGCACACGCTCCAAAATCTGATCCCTTGTGTTTACATGGATCTGCATGGGCTTAAACACACACACACACAACACACACACACACACACACACTACAGCATTCTCTCACAAATGATATACACATATTCACTGAACACTTTCAAGTACACACACACACACACACACACACACACACACACACACATTCCCTGCTGCTAAATACTCTCTGATTGTATCCCAGGGAGGGGTGGTTGGAGGGAGGAGGAGGGTGGTGGTGGTGGTGTGTGTGTGTGTGTGTGTGTGTGTGTGTGTGAGGGGGGGTGACAGGATGTACGGCAGCCCTGATCTGCACTCTCATTTTCAGCCCGGAGATCTGCACCCGGGACATCTGGGTCACATCATTACTGCAATCTTCTGCTTGTTCATTCCCAGCTTTACAGGGCTTAGAGTGACAGACGTCCCGCAAACAAACATTCACGCATAGATCACAGACACACACAGAAATCCAGACGTACGATACAACATGTCAGGCACAAACTGACATGAATCACATCAGAAAAAGAATAAGATGATGGTTAATGTCTTAAATCCCACAGATTGAAGAAACTGCACTGTGTTATTTAGAAATGTGTATAAACGGATGTGGACTGAGTCTAAATAGTTGAATTTATAATATAATACATTGATTAATGATTATAACAGTAACCAGAGGCGGAGTAGAGAGAAACATTAAGAAGTTTAATGCACATTCTCTTAAAGTTACATGTTTCTGTTTGGCGCAGTCCCACCGCCCTCTAGTGGTGAAAATCTGGTTTTACAACAGGGATGTAGTTCCACCTTGTGGCCAGAGGGATGCGCTGCTGAAAAACAAAGCAGCAGGATCTAAGTTGCCAGCAGCACATCTGTCCTCAGAGTTTATGAATTAAATAAGAATATTGTTGCTTTTCTGAGGTTATTTTCTATATTTCTCTTAAGAGAAAAATAATGTGTTGCGATGACACAAAGCTAATGAGTGAAACGTTTAACTAACAGTTATTACCAGGCCAGGAAGAGTACATTTTAATTGTATACCAAAATAGTAGAAAATATCGCTCTTAAATCGAATGAAAGTTAATTTAAGAGCAAATTTACTTTTTTAATTTTTTTAAACTGGTGGATAGATAGTGGATGACTTACTACTACTGATAACAAAAATGAAAATAAAGATAAAAATGAAAGTAAAAATAAGAATTCAGTGTTGCATGTATATTTATTTAAAATTGCCTAAACAAAATAAAAGTGTGGTCAACTATAGTGTTAATACTGTTTTTTTTAAATATTATTATTTCCTATATTGTCTTGTGTTTTTTTTAAATGTATTTTTGTTATTGACAGGATCTAAACAAACTAAGTGTTTGTCTCAGTAACTGAAATATTCCATTTCATAAGATATAACAGTTTTCAATGAAACGAGGTCCCTGCAGAAAAGAAAAGAAGATGTTACAGAACTGAATATATATATATATATATATATGTATATGTAAAAATGTAAAAATATAGATGTAATGTACGATCCTCTTGTGACAGATGTACTGACACAATAATCACAATTTAAAATGTAATTTCACAGTGGTGTGTTTACATGTGAGCAAATATTCAGGAGCAAAACAAAACTGAGGAGGTTTTGTGTATGTATGAGTATTTGAGAGGAGGGTATAAGTATACAGATAAAGGTATAAGTATGTAGAATACTGGGTGAGGTGCTGCAGGATTTACCAGAGAGACAGAAAAAAAAAACACTTGCTCCAGGTGAGGCTCGAACTCACAACCTCGGCATTGCTCTGCTCAATACTGTCTTATAAGTACCGCGCGCTGACCGATTGCGCCACTGGAGCTTCGTCAGTACGAGGTTGGGAAAAGTCCTTAAGAATGAGTCGAATTTCGCCGCGGACCAAATCGTGATGGAATTTGTTGTCACCCATTGATCTCTGTTCTCGGTCAGTACACTGGTGGATGTGATGAAGACTGGAGGAGAAGCGACGATCGAACCGAGTCCGACAAACAAGCCCCCTCGTGTGATGCGTTCACGTGCCTCTCACTCAGCTCCGACCGCCAAGCACCGCCTCTTCATTGACGCTACACGCTTCAGCGGCGCTTTGCTGCCATCTACCGGTGCCCTCACATGTTCATATTGTCCACCACTCATTCTAGAGTCTGTGAAATAAATAAAACCCACCTCACACGCTGCTTTGTGACTTCATATAATGTTTGAAAAATAAACATCGGGTCTGGATTTTATTTATTTTGTTTTGAGGCTGCCTCCAACAAACACATCTGTATGTACCAAACCGAAAAGTCACATTACACGTTGTTTTAATTAGATTTTTTATTTGATGCTATAAAAATGGTTTGAAACCTCAGTTGAGACCGAGTCATGATTGGTGGAGTGCAGACTCCACATGCACAAGAGGGCAGTGTTGGTATGTGGGATATTCTGGTTTCTTTTCTGGATCTCCACACAGCACACAGATGTGGCCAATTCAGGCACCTCTGGTCTTCTTGTGGCCCTGACAGATTGGATGTGAGCCTTTGTACACATGCAAATATGGATCAGTGGAGCTACAATCACTACAATAGAATGACCAAAGGTAACATAATCAATTTGCTCATCTTTCTGAGTGGACTACAATCTTCAAAAAGACTTCATTCAACTTGTTCGGTTTGATGAGGGCAGATATTTGACTTAATTAAAGCTGCAACTAACAATTATATTCTTCATCTGATGTGACGATTGCCTTACATTTTTTTTTCTTCAAAATAAATGAATGCAAACAATTTTTTACCACAGTTCAAGTAGGTAGTTACCAAAGAAACACGTTGAGATTCAGTCCTTCATTATTATTCAGTTTGTGTTGTTTGTTTTTAGCACTGTGAAGGGAAGCCAGACACAATTTCTAAAACATGGGGACAGGCATTCCTGACATTTTGGTATTGTACATGGTGGCCTGATATGATGATTCACGTTCATCATATGTAAACTGGTTTGTTCAGTTCATCATTCACAAAAAATGTGAATGTTCCTTCACAACACTGTCCGTCTCAACGTTGTTTCTGATTCTCACCTCCAGAGGAAGCCTCAGACTTTGTAGAAAACACCCAGCAGCTGCAGCACCTGATTGTACTGTGACGAGAGGGTAAGTGGCACATGTAAAACCTTCCTTCACACGGGGGCTGTGTCAACACATAAACACACAGTGAAGTACATCGAGGCGGCCTGTAAGCCTCCAGGATGGTGATTTATATTCTGAGAGCACTTCTCATTCCTCATCACTGTGTCAAATTGCCATATTTTGTGGGGGTATTTTATGGTATCCACGCTAGGGCCACAGCGTGTACGAGGCCCCATCTATCACCCACACACAACCCCTCAAGAGCAGCACAAAGGCAGATAGAGACAGAAAGATGGAGTGGGAGGCTGGGAGACAGGACAGGCTGTCAGTGTTTGACACCAGGAAATGACTCACTAAGACTGGACACCATAATCTAGCATTGTGTTGTTGTTTTTATTATTATTACAGCTCTCAGCATATTCATAATTCAACACAAGACATACAGGAAACACGAACATAAACATTCTGAATGAAAGAGAAGAAATCACGTGACCCGGTGGCCAACAGAGGCTCTCACCTTAAAGACATGCAGCGGCGAAGCCGGTTTCATAACTGAACACTCCCGTGAACCGGCAACTTTCTTGAGAGGCAACTTTGTCAACGAAGCAAGAGAGAAGGGAGGGATAAAGAGGTCTGGGAACAGGAAAAACTTGCGTAAAAGAACAATGAAGAAAATAGGCGTCGTCAGCAGATAGCAAACACCGGCTGGCAAAGTTGCTTATGTCCGCCTCAAAAATATTGCCAGTGCGTCACAGCCTCATGTGGAATATGACGGATCCATGCCCTTTTGATCTGCTGCAAAGGAAGTGCTTCAGTACCCAAGTTCGGGCTAGTAAGTTACAGTCGCCCATAGAAATAGAATGAGAAGATTTACAGTGTCGTCATGAGATATACAACATATTATACAGAGGGAGGTTCGCTAGCTCTACGCGCTATTTCTTTGCCCTGTTATGTTTCCAAACCTGCAAGATTGCTCATGAATAACTGATATACTTGTTAAGTAATGTCCGTGGTCCTGCAACAGTGGCTCCAGCGTTTTGATTTACATGTCAGGATGAGCGCGGGAAAAACTGCAGGTACAAATTTTAAGCAGCCATTTCTTTAAAAGGCTGCTGTTTGACTCACAGTGCAGTGCATTTTCTTTTTTTTTTAATGTCAGCATCAGACATTTGCCTCCAATGTTAAAAGAACCCCAGTCCCCATTAATGAAAACCAACCCCCTACCCATGACCCACCCCGGTCATTACCCTAATCCCCATGTCCCCAGCCCCAAAATAACTTTTCTACAAACTGATAAAACTTCACGACAATTACCCATCAACACAAAGGTCACACGAAGCTCTGTCGTTACGTCCATCCAGAAAAACTCAGAACAGCATCCCCCTCATTTCCTCACACACTCACTCACACATTAACACGCTACCTCTCTGTCTCACATTTCCAGGGGGATTAAAAGACAGGCAGCACTTGCATTCAAGTCAGGCGTACATCTCCATTGCATCACGGCTCACCAGCTTCCGGTGTTGTCGAGGATTATAAAGGACTAAAAGCAAAAGAGGAGGTTTAAACGAGAAGAGTATGAGGTGAGAGTTTGTCGGAGTGTACGCAGGTGGGGCAAGGAGTTTAGTGTGTTGCTGGTCTGCTCAGTCGTGGATGACGATGGGGCCTCGCATTCTCAGGCTGGGGTGAGGGTGTGGTGGCGCCAGGACGAGCCCCTGCGGGGGACCCTGGGAAGCCCTGCGCAGGGTGATCTGCTCGCATGGCTGTCGGCAGGCGTGCCTCAGCTGGGAGCGGGACAGCAGCCGCCTGGCCCTCCTGGAGATGTGGAGACGAGACGAGACATAAGTGCAGAAGAAGACACATGGAAAAAGCTAATATGAGAGAGAAAAGTGAATCGTTAGTCAGTATAGTTATAACAAAGTGCTTTTATCTAGTTTGAAGTTATTTTCTATTTTATGCTACTTTATTTTACATATAGCATGTATATAGCATACATTTACCTGACAGCTGTAGTTACACTGGTGGTTACACTTGGCAATAAAACCTGATTCTGAATAAAGTTATTTAATATTAAACAATTTTCTTGAAGTCTCTGCATGTGTGATACATTAAGTTCTTTCCGAGGGAAGTTCTATGATTTAAAACACTTCAGATTCTTCATGAAACAAGTTTTAAATATGGCGTTTGATATTAAAAAATAACACGGCTGCAAAGTTTGGTGGCAGCTGAAAAATTCATGATAACATCTTTATGTTTCTGTAAGCAGCCGTGGAAAAGCCTGCGGATAATGTTTGTGTGAATATATTATTTATACTCCGCTGTCCATAGTCTTGATTCATCTAATTCATCTGGCTACTTCTCATTACTGTGGCCACTCTGCAGTCTGGCTGCTAATTTGTCATGTATATAATTGCTCAACAACAGTGCATGAGAATGAACTGCTGCTAGTTACTCAATTGATTGCATAGCTCAAAAAAAATCTCTTTTACTCAACAATCGATTCTGTTTCAAATAATGTTTCCTTGGAGCAATGTTTGTTTTCTGTGTTCAGCTCACCTACAGGACTGTAACAAGCTTCACGTGAGGTGCGCGGCCTCGGCAGCAGAAACTGATGCATTTGACACGTATGATGGAAAAACTAATAAAGAGAGAAAACTGTAAACTTTAAGTTGGTTGGAGTGATTAAACGCAGGCTGAAAAGTTCAGTTTGAAGAGACCATATTGAGGTTCCAGGCCACTGAGGAAGTAATTAGAAACAAGCGCTTTTTCTCATTTCAGGAGGATTCACTGAAGCAGAGAGCGGCTTGTATCGAGCATCAGTATCTGTCTCAGTTATGAAGTAAGAGAGGGGATCATCTCTGCAGGATTGTCAGGCTTATAAATGGGCTCAGTGGTAATTTCCAGCCTGCAGTGGAGCAGTGTGCTAAAAGAGGAAGTGCTTTTTCAGCCACCACAGCACTGAACCCAAGACTGCAGTGTATGCATGCTCACAAGCGTAGGACACAGCACTAATGTAATTCACAAGGGCAAGGCACATAACCACAATGCATACACGATTCTTCATTGCCTATAGGCGGCCATGTTAAGCCAACACATGTCCATTTTCTTCCTCTTTCTCTGCTCTCTCAGCAGCACCGAGGACACTTTCTCTTCTCTCTGAACCCTGCTGTGAATAAAATGAGCGCCAGAGCACTCACGGAGACTCCATGTACATTATGTGGCCGTTCAAGTGCGATTATAGCATCTGTAAGTGCATGCGACATAGAGGCCCCTTGAGAGATAATGACTTGGTTTTGTACATAACATCTGTATACTCTAAAATGTGCAAACACTCTTACTTTCATTTAATGTCATCTCTCTTTCACACACAGCACTGTTCTCTATGCATTACATTCTTACATGATAGTCTGAGCAATAGAGAATAATAACGTGTATGTAATTATAGTGTGTGGTGGTTTGTTTGTTGAAATAATCTATTTTACAGTGTGTATGAGAAAAATAATCTTGTATATGAAACAAAATAATAGCAAGAGAAATTAATAGTTTGTGTGAATGCAATAGCTACATAATAATCTATTTAAAGATGGATGATGCGTCTCCACTTTCTCCACCTATCCAGAAATCAAGCTAAAATAACCCAGATACAAATGCCGACATCTTGTATCGATCAATTGGAGCAAGAATCTGCAGAGTAACAATCAGTGGATGATGCCGCAGATAATGGAGATTAAAAAAAAGCCCAGGCTGTTAAACTGCGGCCATCCAAAGCCCGCTCAAACCTGATTGGTTACACTAGAAACAGAAACCAGAAGGTGTCCTGCTGCAAAATCTTGTCCCTCACCTACAGATTAGTCCATGTCCCATCTGCTAACATGGAGGATGCAGGGTTTAAGACCAATACTGCGATGAGATGATGATGCTGTGTGTATGAGAATGTGATTAGAGCAGTGTTTTTGTGAACTTACTCTCAACTTTAGGAGCCACTCGTATCAGCGGCTCAACCATGAATCTGCACACACATCTTTCAAGCTCAATACTCTGCACTGTGCTCGCACTTGTGACATATTTGGACTGAAGCGTCGCAGCAGAATATAAACCAGAGAGAGGAAAGGAACAGATTTAGGTCTGGTGGCTCATCGTCCAAAGCTCCGCTGTTTGTCTGTTCAGCTGGCCTTCGGGAGGAGGAGAGCAAACATGTAAATCCACTGTCAAACATATCAATCTGTCTCATTTGCATATCGGTTCCCTCCGTCTCTCGCTCTGTCCCCATTTCTGCTGCTCAGTCCAAATCCAACCTCTCCCTTTCTTTTATTGGACACAGTCATGACGGAATTACTTGGATCCTAAAATTATACCAATACTATGTAAAAATACACAGTTACAAGTAAATCCTTCATTCCTATTTAACAGTACTCTGATGTTATCAAGAAAATGTACTTTAAGTTTTTTAATTAAAGTACAAATTCTGCAGAAAAAATGTGGCCCTGTCCCTGATATATCATAAATTAACTCATTAGATTTACAGAATGTCACTCAGTGCTCATACATCCACCAAAGCCCAACAAGCCACTTAAATGCAATCAAGCTGCACCAAATTCCACATACTCACAGAAATCAGTCGCCTAAATGTGCCTGATTTTCATCAAGACTCATGAATAATTTCCTGAGAAGATGTTGAATGATGATGCAATGATCCTGATTCACACAAATATTCTTCCCTGACACGTATGGCATCCTGTTACCAAGTGCTGTCGAAGTTCAATCTGTAGTTTTTGTGTAATCTTGCTCAAAATAAAACAGGGGTGAAAACTTAATCTCCTTGGCCGAGGTAATAAAGAAGCATTAAGCCTAAGCAGCAATTCAGCGTTGTAACGATTCTACAGATAGTGTCGATAAATCACACAATGTGAATCTGACCTTTTGTGATAATAATTAGTGTGGCAGGAAAGAAGAAGTTAAGCTTAGCTTAACTAAGAAGTCTTAATTAACTATACTGTGAAAGTTCTTTTGTGTCTGTACTTCTGCTCTGCATGTTTCCCTTTGTGTCTAACGATGCAGCACAGTGTGATCTTTTTCTATTAACATTAATATCTCTCACTTTATTGATTTGCATGTCTGCTGTCATGCGACGCTGTGTTTCACGACCTGGTACCTGACAATGGAGCCCTGAATGAAGTGTTTATATACCTATATATCATTTTTTCTTTTTTCTTTGAAGCTTACATCTGCTCACATAGAAATAAAAAAGTAATCTCTCGATAACTTGGAGAATTCATAGAAACAGCAACTGTAATATGTGAAAAATGTGTTTTCTAGTGTGAACACTTTTTAATACACCCCCTTATTCTTTCGAGTTCTTTGAAGTCATTACACACAGAAAAGAGGGAATGAAGAAATAAATTATACTCATCTGCTGTGTCTTTAAAGACCAGCAAGACTGCAGCAGTATTTTATAAGATGGGGAAATTAAACCGTAAATCACAGGCAGTGTTACAAGGTGTTACCTAAATCTCAATCTGAAAGGTAACTTACACACTGGACCTGATATGTTGTGGACTTAAATTATCCCCTTTGGCATTTAGCAGAGTAAAAGTATGAAAAGGAACATGATTAAAATATTTAAGTATAGCACTAATGCATTGCGCATTAAAAGTGGACTTTTACACCACTTTCTACCAGACTGAAAAATCTCAATAACTATTGCATTTATTGCATTGATTTATTTTTTCATTTGAGATATTAATGCCCCCCAGAGGTTGACTCTCTCCCCTGAGTTTTCCTGCAGAGCCTCCATTGGAATAACATTTCAAAATGAACTAGAATGACACTCATCGGTCCCCTAAATGTGCCTGATTTCTTTCATCAGGATTCATGAATTATTCCCTGGGAAAATTAGGACAATATTACAAGGTAAAAGAAAGCAAAAAAAATCTTTAAAAACCTGGATCTGTACTAAATCCATAAACGCACAAAAATGTTATGGGTTCTTTGCATATAACGCTATAAACTCTGGCACAAATGTTAATTTCCCACAGAATTAACTTTAATGCTTTGTTGATTCCTTTGACTTTTCATATTGTTATTATCTTACTTTAGTCCAATTTAATGTTTAATGTTTTACACACTGCAAGAAAAGTGTTTTTGCCTCTATTTGTCTCTTTTGCCTCCTTGAATAAGAGGGAGTGATCTCCCACTCTCTCTCTCTCCTCTGTGGCTCTTCATCACACTGGGAGAGAAAGAAAGAAAGAAAGAAAGAGAAAGAAAGAGAGAGAGAGAGAGAGAGAGAGAGAGAGAGGAGCACAAAGAGATGGAGAAGGGAGGAGAAAATGAAACTTCCGATCATCTCTCATTAGCTGCAGCCTCTCATAGCAGATCTATTAATGTCTTTTACTCAGAAAACCATTCATGTCTTTACCAGGAGAGTAAATGAAAGCGTGATACAACAGCAAGGGTACAGTGTTCAGAGTGATGCTATCTCTCACACACACGCACACACACACACACACAGAGCCAATGTTGTCTTGGTGGTAAGTGAGTGATCCATGTGAGTACAGCGGTGGTTAATGTGGTAATGATATTTCCACTCAGGGACTAGCGCTGTCTGGCTCCTCGCTGGCCCATCTGCACCAGTTAGCTGCTCTAATTTTAGTCCCGGCAGTCTGAGGGCGGCTGTGAGGGCCGGGTGCTATGGCTCATTTAGACACAGGCTTAATGGGAGAACATCTTTCTCGCTCACATACAGACATGCAAACTTTCACTCATTATGTGCATGAGAGTCTGTGCCTGTGAAGACGTTTTGTTCCCCACCATCTTCAAGAGGAAAGGGACATGGAAAAATACGTGTATTTGAATTTATGCAGATTTTTATTAATATGTCATTGTGCTGTTGACTCTTTTAATTGGTCATATCATTTTCTGCATGTTATATATTGCATTTTCTAATTTTGGGAAATGTTAACATTAATTACCCAGAGGCTTTTAAATAGGCCAATGGGAATTGTTAATTTTTAAGTATTTTTAAGTTAAATTTACGATTAAAGCCTTTGAAAACTTGTATGGAACAAATCCCTGGCTGTTGAAAACTACACTTAAATAATCTTAAAACAAAACTGTCTTAAATCTTTGCAATATTAGACAAAGCCAAAGATATGGTAAATCAAAGTACATTATATATATTATATGCATTGTTCCGTCATTGTTCCATAAATTCCCTATTGTGTGTAAGTATCAAGGAACACATATAAAACTACAGCACAAATAACACCAATTACATAGCACTAGCATATCATTAGTTACTCCCACACAGTCTTCAGATTATAGAGAAAACTTATATGAACTCAGGGGAAAAAATAAGTTTAAGAAAACAAAGTTAACGACCATATTCAAAATAATAATGTTTATCTGTTAAGGTGGTACATTTTCAGAATAACTGTGATGAGGGAATAAAAAACTATAGCTCACTTTTCAAGTTTAAATAAAAAATAAGAAAAAGTTTAAAAATAAGTAACAAAACTCAAAACGTTTCATCAGGTTAAAAAAAACTGTTTTTCTGTCTGTTTCAGTTTGTACTGACTAATCTAAGCTTTGGGCCGTATAGGGCAGCCAATAAGAATAATTATGTTAGTGAATGGAAGGTGTGATAACGGCTGTCACTTTTTGGGTTACATTTCTATATTTGTTTTGCTCTATTTATTTCTGACACCTGTTACTCTGTTGTTTTGAACCCCATTTCTTCAGGACATTTAATTAGTTGACTGAAGTGAATTGTAAAACCTTAAATCCTTGTGTCAGCTGGTTGTGTTTTGATGAAAATTCCCACTGCAATTGAATATCTTGATATCTTTAAGATGATGCACTGATGTTTTTTACATCTTTAAAAGATACTAAATGAGAAAAAGACACTGTCGGCTTCCCAAATTGCCACACTGTGAACTCAGTGGGTCTGAGCTTGTATGAATTGTGTTGTATCTGTGTGTGCATGTGCACGACAGATCTGTGTTGCTTTTAATTTGCTCGACTCTCAGCATCACTTGCTTTCCCTTCACACTCACATCCACACACGTCAGTCAATCAGAGGTCGGAAAAGGGTCACCTTTGCTTACCTGGTCTCCCGGGTGACGAGGAAGAAGCTGTCATCGGGGGCATCGATCCAGTTGGGGCGCCTCTTGCGGATCATCATTCCTCCTCGGGTGTTGCCACTGCTGCTGGTGCGGCCGTTGTGCTGCGAAAACACAATTAAATGTTGCAATAAGAAGTGATTCAGTGGTGCAAGGCTGAAATATATATAAATAAAAGATAATAAGACACGTACCAGGGGGGGTCCACCTGTTGTACCTGGGTTCTCTGTGAAAACAAAGCCACAGCAATGAGAGAAAGATGCAAAGTATGCATGAGGGACTCTGCCAGCTTATGAATAGTATTGATTGGTTTATTGCTTTTCCTTGTTACAAGTGGTGCAACATATGACTGTGTTTCAATTTCAGTAAGAATAGTGAAGTTACCAATAAAAAACAAAGTGTCAGAATGAAGTTGAATCATCCAAATTATCCAAATGACCCCCATCTGCTGATTCGCTTTCAATAGAATTAGTTGTCATTCTCTCCAACGAGCTAGTTTAGATAAGAAATGGCAGAAAAGGTTATCAACTCCGGGCGTATCTCCTCTAACTGGATTTCATCAAGCATGAAACTGATGACAAGAACATTAGATATCAACACTGTACGCTCCCCAAGGTTCATTCACATCAGCACTAACTGAGTTAAAAGCAAGAAGGGAAGAATTTATCATTTTTTAAACACAACTACTAATGTCTTTTGCTTCAGGGCAGGAATAACTTAAGCAATAAAAGGCTTATTGAAAAACAAGTCACAATTATTTTTTGTGTCGTTGATTTAGTTGTGTGTGTGTTTGTGTGTCTACCTGAGCGCCTGTCCGGCTCAGCCCTGCTGTGGTGGTGGTAGCTGCGTTTTCCCAGCATGCCATGGGGACCGTGCGGGAGAGAGGAGAGCAGGCGTCGAGGGGGGGGCGTCTGCAGGCCTGGGGTGCGGTGGGAGCGTGGGGCATGGGCTGCAGGACGGGACTCTGAAAGAGACGCCACACCAGGGCTGCATCAGCTAGTTTCTCAGGACCACCTGAATGTTGTCAGCTCATATTTGATTCTTTTGACAGTTATTCAGTACAATGGAGCAAAATTGTGGATAATCAAAGTCAAATTTATTGATTAAAATCTGATTATTTGCATTGATTTACCTAGAAACTGCACGACACTGGTCAGAGTGCTCCTTTGGGCGGCCCTGGTTTTGGGCAGGCGGGTCCCCTGTCCTTCTGACACCCTTAACATGTCTAAATTAAACACACACACACACATTTTACAAAGCAGTGCAGTGTTTCTCTCCCTCTACCCCATGTTGGCTGACCAAGAATAAAAAGTACCATTTTAACATTTTAACAGTTAATGTGGCAAATGTCATACAATCAAAACCAAGTGAGTGTTCATTGAAGTCTGTATATAAATCAGTTGATGGAAGGAGGAGCTTGTTTATGGTCGTCTAATGTAGATGATTAGAATGCATGGAGGCGCATGAGTCAATGCAAATCACGTTGAGGTAATAATAATGGTGAGATGCTTCCCGGTATGACATGACCACAAAAACAAATTGAAATCTCTCCCACATGCTTCCACATGCATTCACAACCACGAAGAGAACACTATTAACACACATACATCGATATATGAGGGCGTCACAGGAGCAGGCGCTGAGAGTTGAGTGCATGCTGGGGGTGGTGCGAGGTCAGGGTGACAGGGTGGGTTGTGGTTCCTCTGGAGTGTGGTGGAAGTTGATGGACAGATAACATGGACACATGAAGCACAAGGACTCGGAAGAGATGCTTTCAGGTGCGGCTTTATTGGAGGTCTACTCCCACGTTCACACAGTGATGAGAGAAAAGAGCAAAAAAAATAAAATTAAGAGAGAGGTAGAAGGTGAGATGAGAATATTGCAACACGTCAGTCAATAAAAATGAAGGACAAAGAGGAGGAGAGGGTAATGGCAAATCCAGCGTCACAGGATTCACAAAACAGAGGAAGCAACAGGATGGATTCAGAAGAGTGTTGAATGATTTGAAAATAGGCGAACAGCTGAAGTGGATGGTATGGTAAGACACTGCCGGCCAGGAGATAATGTCTTGAGCCTGATCTACAGTAATGGGGGAGGATGTAGCTAGCAGCGAATAGTGAATTCTCTCTCCTGTCATTATTCCTCGTACCAGACAAAAAAATAAATTTTAAGCTTTAACCTCCCTTACTTCAAGTTTCATCAGTCCAAAGCTCATTTATCAATCATTCATTTTGTCCATAAACATGATTTACAGCATGAGGAGAAAATGTGTGCACAAAATATGGAATAAAAATCTTTTTAAATGATGATGGCAAACACAGTGAAGCTGAAGTTTAGTATTTACAATAAACATTTTGTGGCTGAGACAAAATAGAGCGTCTCTTAGTAAAATACATTCTCTCTACGTCTAACTTCAGCAAATATATAGCTCAGACTAGAATATGACTTCTACTGGATTCCATTACAGTCTAACTGTTAATGACAGGAGCTAAATCTGCTGTTATGTATATATTCAAAGTGTTAATGTAGAATAGTCCTGTTTAAACCGTCTTTGTGAAACAGTGGGTTTCAGTTCACAGTGAGTATAAGACAACACCACAACAGATCAAATTATAAAAAATAAATCTATGAATGAAAAGATGATCAAAACTCATAGTTATGAGGACAGGCAGTCTTTATTGGAAAAAGGGGGGGTGGGAGAATACAAAAACCAAAATAATAATAATAACAATAATAATAAAAACAGAAAGGGAGACAGACAGGGTGGGGGCGGAGATGGGCAGAGATGGGGGTTGATGGCGAGGCAGTCAGGGTGAGGCGGGGTGGTGTGGTGTGTGTCTGTGTGTTTCTATATGTCTGCATATGCTGTGTTTGTCTGTGTGTGTCCATGTGGCAGAAGTTAGGAGGAATTGAAAGAGCTCTTACACTCTGCCTTTATGGCCCCACAGTTAATGGGGACAAAGGGCCGGCGCGCAGCACGGCGCAGCCTGATGATGTCACGGCACATGTGCCGGGCCAGCTTGGTGAGGCGGGTGGCCTGCAGCAGGAAGGCCTGCTTGGTCTTCATGGAGGACTTGGGGCTGCCGCTGTTTCGCATCGGCACCATGTGGTTGGACTGGCGTGGAGCGTGACCTCGTGAGCGAGACTCCTGGGGAGGAATGAAGGAGACAGAGAAATGCAGGTGTAATGATGAAAATGACACATTGCTCTGAAAACCTGAACAGTATTTTCTTCAACAACTTGACAACATTTTCGGAACCAAGCTGAAACATTTTGCATATTTTGCACAAGATATTTCTGTATTTTTCATGTGTAAACTTTTTAATAAATACCCAAGGGAGTTGTTTCTCCAAACGTTATGTGCTACTGTTGTTTATTTAGTTATGAATATTTAATATCAGACACATTAGGCCATGTTAGAGTCCATTTCCTGGTTATTCTCTGTCCCATTTGCCTCCACACCACAAGATATTCTAATTTACAGTACTAACAGACTAGTTTTGATGGAATAGTGGCATCATCTCACTTTGTTTTGCAAATACTACTAAAATTTTACTGCCAAGCTGCTTGGTGATTAAAATTCAAACATCACAGTCCAGCTTTGAAATACCAATGAATTAAATAAAAAGCATCATCAGATGATCAGAAGTTGTTATCAATGCGTTTACATGAGCAGCAATATTCTAGTATGAACCTGATAAATATAAAAGTCTGAATAAGATGCTGCCATGTATCCAGCATTTTCTGATGTTAATCGGCATGAGGTCATACTCAGAATGAGCAATAATCAAATTAAGACATGTGGAATAGTCATTGCAATAATTAGATTTCTTGATCTTGTTTTTTTTAAGAGGTTGCAACATTAACATACAGCAGTTACCAACTGCTTAGCAACACATGCCCTAGGATACAGTTTACACAGGTGGTAGGATGTGATGTTGATGTGTCATAATCAGACTGTGCTCTAAGCGGTATATTATATTCGTAACTCATATAAACATCATAATCAGTGTTACGTCTTTTTCAAAATAAGGTCAATAGCCAGATTATTGGGGTCCATGTTAACACAGAGAGCAAAAGGTGGGAGTTTATGTGATTGCAGATTTCAAACTGGTCATTGAGTTAAATCAGCAGCTTCAGCAAAGATGACGAAAGAACAAATTCATCACAAGGCTATTCAATAAAAACGTCAAGTGAACTTATACTGTGGACTGGCAAGTGCACATGTGGAATTAACAATAATGGTTGCACTCCATCCATATCAGACGACTCCAGGACTCTGCCTTTGTGCACTGTGATAAGTGCCACTCCAATGAAACTGTGGCACCATTTATAATAATACTATTACGACTGTGCTTTTTCCTTTTTGAAGCATGTGCTGAGAAAATGGTTGTCGATTGCTTCAGGTCTCTACACTGCGTCATCTGCAATCTCTAACAAAGAAATCTGTACTCCACAAATGAAAACTGACATATTTATCCATCAGATTTTCTTTTACATTTCATGATATAAAATTATAAACTACAGTTAGTCAAAGAGTGACTGCACTTTCCTCGACTTTCTTTTTCAGTGCCAGTCATTAAAATGTGTAGTCATCGGTCTGCTGTGGATGTATAGAATTACATTTCTCTTGCCTGGTCAGTTTTCACAGTAGAAAATATAATCCAACAATAGAAACAGCAGATGTGTGAAATGAGGCTATTAACCGCTAATATATAGATACTGTATATGATGATTTCAGCTCAGTTTAAGTACTGTAGATATAACAGATTTTAAGAGGCAGCAATAGTATTTAAAATTAGGAACATGAACCAATTTGTTTTTGTGGAACCAAGAAAGCTCAACACTTTTGGACCTCTGAAAACAAAAAGAGGATTTAGAACTGCTGTTTTAACTGCAATCCTAAACATTAGAACAAGCAGAAAAACCTGATTCAGACACATTTTACGCCTCCACCATATCCCACGCGTTTCACATCTGTGCTTTCGGACTGAGCTTACATTGCTTGCAGGAACTGGTGAGGTCCTCTCCTCTGGGCCTTCCGCTCTGCTCGGCATCTTCAGGCCGCCGTACTTCTTCCAGTACATCCAGCAGGAAACGCACAGACGACACTGCATGTTCGGAGGCCCCCAAGAGTACCACTGGGCCGACTGCATGGCTGTTAATGTAAGCATTAAAGCTGGTTAGAGACATCTCCAGTCTCAAGACACTCAACACTACAATCTCATCATCGCTGTCTCTAGCTCTTACATAATTTATGTTATCAATATCTACACACAAGGCGGAAGCACAGTAGATGCTTATTGGTGACTAATGAGATTAGTACTTATATAAATGCACAGAAACTTTGAATATGAAGTCATCAACTGACTTGTTAGCTGCAGCTATAGTGGTACATTAGATCCAAACTTTGCTTTCAGGGATTGAAAACATATTTTTTAAGAATCTCTGTTTCACATAAATCTGAAACCAGTTTAAATGCAGAAGCAGTTTTCATTATCCAACAAGATATTCATCACTGGATCAAAAACAGCTGTCAAGATAAAGAAGCAGTGATGGTAGAAATTAAAGGAGAACATCCCTTATAGATTCAGCTGAATTTGTCCTGTTCGTTTCTGAATTATCCATGTTCCCTTTTGTGTTTTAATGTTACACAAACAAACAAAACTCACTATAGCAGCTCTCGCAGGCTCGGCCCCCGCCTGATGCATGGTAGGCCCCGGGGCCCGCTCCATTCACTGTGGCCATCTTGCCATTGGTCACTGAGATCTGGTTGGGGTTGGGTTTGTTACTGTCAGATAAAAACAAGATGATGAGATTCAAGAAACACTTCTACAGCTTTTGGCAGCACTTTATATGTTAAAACTAATTGTCATCTTGCAGCAATGATGCCGATTGTGAGTATTGAAACGTGAAATGAAGTAACTTACTACGTGGGGATATAAACCTGCTTCAGTTTGCTCTCTGCTTCTGCTGCCTTCAGTCTCTTCTGCTCAGAGGAAAAACAGAAACAACGGACAATAGACTCATTTATACAGTTAGAAAAGAAACATACTGATGATAATGATCTTGATGATTTGAAACTTCAGTGCGAATAGGAAACATGAAAACAGGAGCCCACAGATACAAATATAATCGCTGAATTGAACATTCAGCGAATGTGTCAATGCATTTCAGAGGTGTTTCCTTTCTTTTTGATGTGATAGTTTGCAGACACCTTCCATTCCACTGTGTAAGCTGAATTTTTTGAAGAAAATAATTGTGTGCTGGAATACCATCTTATGGGCTGACATTCATGTGCTATATTTGGCTGATGCCCTTGTTTGAAGTGACCTCTCCTCCAAAAGCTGTACCAACACCAACTCAATTTTAATTTGATCCTAACCTCTGACTGAACCAAAATTCACTTTAGTTCATAGTCACTTTAAAGGGGAACTTCAAACCATGATTTTTCTTTTGTGGAAAAAGACGGAACATTAACAAAATAAAGGCTTTTTTTTCTTCTTCAAATTAAAATTAAAACCTTTCCAGACCTTTTTAATTCTTTATTCAAGGAAACATTTATTAGAGAATGGTGAAAAATATATATTATTTTACTGACTAAATTGATTTTTGCCAGATTTCTGTTAGCACCGCAGCAATAAGAAAACAAATTATGAAAAAATACTACCTAAAAGGTGTAATAAAAAGTAAGGAAGTAAGGAATAAAAAATTGAGGAAATTTGTAATACAGATTCAGGACTGAGGCAAAAATTGTTTTTCAAGACTAAGATGTTCCAATACAAAGTCAAAATTTAAAATCACAGCACTGAAACATTCGGAATGTCATTGTTTTGAAAATTAGGAATTAGTCTCACCTGTTGCACATATCTGTCTGTGGTCTTCCACATGTAGTAGTACTCTATGATACTGGTCAGAGACTTCCATGGCAGCTTCAGGAGAGGAAAGAATGAGGAGGGTGGGGGGAGAGTAAATTAATGGTATTAATATCTCATGTTCTTACCATCTGGGTGCGAAAGCCGTCATGTATATGCATGAGAGA